GGTAAAGTGTTCAAAAATCAGTATGTTCTGACTTGGCAGCTGTTCTTTCAAGTCTACAATCATTTTGTTCGAAGACAAGGCAGGGCATGCTGTATACTATTCTGGAGACTATAAGCAGAATAAGGTGTTGTGGTGGCAACATTCACTTTCTTTGGGTGCCAGCTCATGTAGGCAACAGTGGAAATGAAAAGGTGGATAGGTTGGCAAAAAGAGTGTTGACTAAAAATAGGACTGAGATGGAAATTACAAGCAGCGGATCTGAAGCAAAAGGTATTGTTTGGAGGCAGGTTGTTCAGGAGTGGCAGAAGCAGTGGGATTCAGGGAGTAAGGGCAGGCTTAAGAAGGAGGTGGCAGAGAGTAGGTTTTATAGGGGTAATAGGAGAGATGAGGTGGTCATTACCAGGCTTAGACTGGGACATTGTGCATTAAATAAAACACTACAGATGATAGGAGAACATGAGATGGGGCTTTGTGGAGTGTGCCAGGAGGAGGTGGAGACAGTAGAGGATGTAATACTGCGGTGCAAGGGTTATGATGTGGAGAGGACAGTTCTGCAGAATAGATTGAAGGAGCGGGGAATTGGGGAATTTAATCTGAAGAGTGTGTTGGAGGGTAGTAGGGCACAGGTGAGGGAACTGGTGGGGTTTCTGAAGGATATAGGTGTTTATGAACGAGTGTAGTTTTTTTTTTGGATACAAATTGTAGACTCACTGTCTGACCCATACTCCGGTCGGAGGCGGTAATGCTCCTTTACGTTGGTTGCCAACCGCCGTTAAACACGAAGAAGAAGAAGAAGAGGACACATCTAAAACCTGCAGGAACACCGGCCCTCATGAACTGAGATTGCCCACCCCTGCTCTATACCTTAATGTAACATCATGCAGTATTTTGTCATTTATTCCTTTTTAATTACAGTGGCTTCTGTGTATTTACTTTCCCTTGCTTTATCTCCATCATGCCATTTGTTGTGTTTGTACTTGGTGTGAATTTGCTCTCTGTTTTACTTTCTCTTTCTCTCACCTGGTTGAGCAGGTGACCCATGAAGTACAGAAGGCTATACCTGGGTTTGAGTGTCTACCGGGCTGCTTCCTCTGTGTCGTTCTCCTGCACTGTCTCACTACACTTTCCTATCCAATAAAGGTACTAAATAAATGAAGTTAAACAAACAAAAATTTTGATCCACAGGAGTCAAAATGGGACAGCTTTTATATTTTACCTCCTTAACAAAAGCTTTAAATATGAAAATGATCCATTAAAGGATTCCTAATCTGCTTCAGACTCACCTATAACGTAACTATTAAACTAATGTAGCTCTCATAATTTTGCTGAGGCGCCTCGAGTCAAAAACAATCTTCTTTTTCTTATTTTGTGTCAATATTCTGTTCCAGTGGTGGACATCCGTGCTTATTATAATCACTAACTGGTGATGAATCCCATCCCTTTTCAGTAATAATTAAAATGTACCCAAAATACCACACATTTTAATTATTATTTTGAATAACAATTCAATCTATAATAAAACAATATCACTGTTATCCGTGTTTGAAGTCGATGAATTGTTAATAAAGGTGCAAAAGTAAACTGGAGAATAAACTGGGGTCACCTGTTTGTGAGAAATTCAGTGTCTCCTGCTCAGCTTACACCAGCCATGGCCTTCATTGTCCGGCTTATCTCCTGTGAATTTACCCTCCTGCTTATTGACAAAAGCAGCTGGATACACTCACACTTCATTATGGAGAGCAGTGACATCAGCAGATCGGTGGGTTACCAGGTTACCTGAAGAGAAGCCCAGACCATCCAATTAAAGCATAGGAAGAAGAAGAACAGGATCAACTCTGCTTCAGTCATTCAGTCTGAGAAACAGCTGCAGCCTCTCTCTCTCACACACACGGTGAGTAGATCCCATAAACTTATGCTACAGACTTCACTTTACACGTCATCTGACCATTTCTGCCATAAATGTGAATTTATATTTATTTAGTGAAATATTTGGAACTTTAAACGAATGTTTCCATCTTTAATCCTTAATTCTTCTGTAAGGTTTTGTCTTTGTTTAACTAGGCACAACCACAAAATATACTCTGGATTCCATAAAAATAGAAATAGTCAAATAGATTTAATAGATCTTAAGGAAAGCTATGGTACAATGAGCTACTGGTAGATTAAGCACCTAACAAAGACTAGTTCACTGGTAACCTGTTCAGGGTTAACGACATTTACAACTAAGCCTTTAAACAAAATATCTGCGCGTTTCATTGAAATAGTACGCACGGAAGAACAAAATAGTTACAATGGATCACTCATTACTTAATTATATATGCTATGAGACAGACAACGGTGACAAAGGCGGCTCAACTAGTTTATTTTCAGTGATAAATGATCCAATGATTCTACAAAGAGCGAGGAAAATTAGCGGTTCAAAAACCAGTAGACGGGATGAAAGTGTGTAAAACACTAACCGAATAATATTATAAGCGCAGATCTCCCTGAAAACAGGTGTGTTTTTGATACAAGGGGTAACTCTTCTATTAGGAACTGCTATTAGAAACTATTCCACCGAAATATAAGTGTAACAGCTGACCTGTGTGACGTGCAGAACAACTGTAAACAATATTTCGCATAATATTGTAAATAAGTGTGTTGATGAAAGGAATGTTACTGTGCCACACGCGTAAATGCGCGCATCGCTCTTTCCAGCAGTCGCATTTCTGAGAGTCTAACCGTGTTAGTTAGTTTTGACAGATATTTCACTTTGGTTCAAAACAGATTCAATATGATGAGTCCATCAGCGCGTGCGCATTGCTGAGAAAATATTCCAGCTCAGTTCTGCTTTGTTTCGGTGAGTTTTATTACTACAGATGCCGAATTATGCTCAGCTCCGAAGACTCAGTGTGAGGGCTGAGTGAAGAGCTGCAGGACAAAGCCAAAGCAGAATCAGACATGTTTTTGTGGCATGCCGCAGAGTGAATCAGAATTGCGTGAATTATTTAAATATGTCTCCCAAGATTTTGTGAAAAATACCCATAAGCACGCCTTTCGGTAGCAAAACTACAGAAGAGGATGAGGTTCCACTGGGGGGGATATACTGAAGATGCGCATTTTGAAGTCAGCTCAAGTGAGGATTTTGGCAGTTCTCCCGCTCATGTTTTCCATTAAGGTTATTTTTTTTTAGAAAGTGCATTGGAAAAGATTATGAGGTTGTTTTGGGTTTTTTGTTGTTGCTTTTCCCACTGCCCTGGGACTCAGTGGAGTCACAATTTAATGAAAGCCTACAAGTTTGCGTTCTTTAGCCCCCGGGTTTTGTCTCGCAGGGAATTTCTATTGCGTATAATTACTTGCTGTTAATCTAGTTTTGCAAATACACCGTTTAATTTACTCAGATAATACGTATTCGTATTTGTTTAAAGGTTAAACGTTGTCATTAAGCGGGGGAAATCCTGTAAGGCCAATCCCAGGACAACAATTCCCATGGACTGGAGCCGGCGCGCTCACGGTGCTGATGCTGCTGCTGCTGGTGGTTAGCCAGGCAGCTAATCACTGAAGCTCCGGATAAATGGTCACATTTACGGCGTTTAACATCCACGTTAACCCGCGTCGTGTGGCGGCAGATGGACGCATAATATCGTGTGCATGTTCTTGTTGTCGTTTCGTGTAATGGAGCTGTACCACCCGTGTACGAGCCGTGAGCAACGGATACTTGTGCAGTCTACGGTTAGCTCGCTAACGCTCGGGGGATTTTTAAGGTTTACTGTGGTTAATGGCTCTAGTCGTAGTCAAGCTGTCGTGAGCGAGCCCTGGTTTGCTGCAGCTTCGCTTCCCCACTAGGATTACCTGACGGTCAGAGCCTCCACCAGCTCCACGATATGACTCACACACAGTGAGCCGACCAGCTGGCTGGATGGCTAGCTCTTTCGTTAGCAGCTAACCTAGGCGGTGATGCTAGCAGCCGTTCGGGTGTTCGTACCGCCAACTATCTGAAGCCATGTCTGCCCGATGTAGCTGATGTGTTGCTCGGCTTGCCAAAAGATGAAGGGCCGGGGTTATGATGCGCCTCTGCCTGCAGGAGGCGGAACATGGATGCAGAGGAAGAGCGGAGTGCACACAAAGTTTTGGATCCAATGGTGCCCTGCAGGCAGAACGGAAGGATCGGTAAGACTGGTGCCGCTGTCCTTTTCTAATATCTCCTCTGTGTTTTAAGTTCTGTGTAAGGTGACCTCTCTGTCTGTGCGCAGGTACTTTGAGAACTCTCCACCGCCTGCTGAAAACCCAGAACACACTGCAGATTCAGTCCATCACCCGCTCAGAATGTGCTGGTAGGTCAAATCCTGCATGGGCAGAAGCTCCCTTATTCACAAGGTGTCACCACAGCGGGTAAAAGGTGTCATTAAAAACCAGCTGATTAAGATTTAGTTGATTAGCAGATTTTAAAAGGAGGGAGCAGCAAATCCCAGCCTTCTTTTTCCTGATTTCAAACTTGTGGACAAACAGAAGGAACGAGTCCTGGGTTTGAATAACGTTCTGCATTTTTTCTGATGGATGTAAGTAAGATGCAAACCTGTAAAAGTTGTGCAGAATCTCATGGTCAATTTATATGCAGCATAAGTCCAGTTTGAGCTCAGACAGGCTTTATAGTTATTTTGTTTTAAAGATATAAAGTTCTAATTTTTATCGTTTAAACATAAACGGTGAAAGTCAAAGTATTTATCTGTTCTAAAGAAATTGAAGTATGTACTAAACCCAAAAATCGAGCTATGAACCCGCTTTTCCTCCTTCATTGTCCACCTGTTGACCTCCTGTGAGCTTGGCAGTAACATCTTTGCTGGCAGTGACGTCCACTCTCCCCACAGAGTGACAGAAGCACACGCCCGGGAGAATACATGTGCATTAGCACAGATAGAATAGTATCTTTGCAAACAGTGAAGTTTCAATTTAAAACTGAAACTATTACAGATAGAAAACCTTCCTTCTGTTGTCTCTCGGTTTTAAAGCTTGAACTTGTTGGTCGAATGAGATGCTGACAGGAAACTGCAAAGAGGTAGATTAAATTGAATATAAATCTAATAATATAATTCAAATCTTCAGTTCACAAACTGTCTGTGTAAAACTAGTATGAACTAAAGCGTAGTTTTGGAGAAGTGTTTCATCCTTCATTCCTCAACTTGACTTTAAACCTTTGGAGTGTTTGCAGAGGATGATCTGATATCGTCGTGTTGGTGTTGTTCCCAGATCATCATGAAAATGTTGTTCCAGGTTCAACATTGCAAGTGACCAATCA